AAATTATTAGGCTTTATGTCCTACTTTTTGTTCATTTTAATATTTGAAGTAGTAATATGATTCTTAAAACTATGGAATCAGCCACAATAANCAAAAAACTTTGTTTACAAAATTAAATTATATAAAATTATGAGGTTTTATGTCCTACTTTTTGTTCATTTTAATATTTGACGTAGTAATATGATTCTTAAAACTATGGAATCAGCCACAATAAAGAAGGAACGTTACAATGATACACGCTACATCAAAGACGTCTCCAGAGTAACTGAATGACTGTTCGTATAGAAAACGCAGGTATTCGTCTCATACAACAACGCCCCCTATAGTTCGTTGCGATCGCGAATCGTTTTTTATCCTAAGAATTCTTTAGTTTACGTTTTATAGTTTATAATTTTTTGATGAAAATTGTTGTCAAAATAATTTTTTTTAAAAATTAAATGGTATAACATTGTGTGTTTATGTATACTTCTTGCATATTCTAATGTTTGCAGTAATATGATTCAGAAAGGTATGGAATAAAAATTCGGTAGTTACGTATTAACGCCACCGCAGCTACAGATTTGGCGGTTTTTAAGTGCCGCCAATCTACACTTAAAATTTTTGCGACAAATTATGAAATAAAACACTTTATTTAAAATCAAAGTAGTTAGTCAGATTTCGGTGGAAAATGGGCCGATATAGAGTTTAGCATAGATTCAAAACAATCTCTATTTTCTTTCACCTGATGCTGTCGCCATATGAATTCTAATATATAAGATTCCAAATGAAATAACATTTCCAAAACGTACGTTTTCTAAGATAAAGTTTCATGTCATGGGAATCGGTACATTTTCGTTTTTTCGGTTAAATATTTCGCTCCTGAAAAAATAAAATTGCATCTTGTTTTGTTTTTGGCAAATCCCAAAGACGCATTTTCATAGCACTAAAAAATGGCTTCAAAAAAGATTTTTTTTTGCTTTGTTTCGTAAGCATTCTTTATTTTACGTTTTTTAGTTTCTAAATAATGATTTTTATTGAAACTTTTTATGTCCTACTTTTTGTTCTTTTTAATTTTTGAAGTAATATGATTCTTGAAACTATGGAATGTAAAGTTTAAATGGGCCTTTCTTGTTATATCATTAAATTTAGTAAAACGATTTCTTAGGCATTAGGGTTTAACTCTTATAAGAATGTACATATTTTTCTCTGTTTATTTACAAATATTTTTCCGATGTGTTTTGAATGTTCCTTCTCTAAAAAAAGAGATATACCATTTTGTTTTCGTTTGCATAAGGAAGAATATCAAACATTTTTCGTTCTTAAATTTAATAAACCACAATAAAGAAGGAACGTTACAATGCTACGTGCAACATTAAAGACGTCTCCAGAGTAACTGAATGACTGTTGATATAGAAATCGCAAGTATTCGTCTCACACAACAGCGCCCCCTATAGTTCATTGCGATCGCGAATAACAAAATTATCAAACAACAACGGTCGCCATAGCAACGTATGCAATGACGACGCATGCGCACTATTTAATGTTACTCTTGAACACTTTTGAAAAGTGTGAAGACGTCCAAATAAGGTACGCACGCAATCAAACCCAAAACAGCACCCATCTTACCAATGGGTAAAAAAATTATGTATAATTTAATCCAAGTAAAAGAAAGAGATTGCAAAAAGTGGAACAAAAAAAAGGACCAATTGATATTAGAAACCGAATCATTGGGTTTGAGGAAAAATCTAGCTATAGTAAGACAATAAAGTCTACCAACCACTGGCTACTAACTAACTGAAAATTTAAATTTTCAGGTCTACTGCCAATTAATAAAAAGCGCGAAATATGGCTGTAGCGATGGATAATTTTATAAAGTTATGTTTTAAGAGTGATTTTAATATCCTGGTTATAAATAAAATAGATGGATATTTTTTGTCTAGTTTGACGTCACAATTAAAAAATGGAATTGAAATAGTGTAAGTAAGCAAAATAATTATTTAAATTTTTTTATTGATAATCAACTTCTGTTTTAAATTTACAGCGTTTATTAATACTAATTGGTAAGCAATCTAATATAAAATTACTCTGACCTTAATTTATCAAATCGCATAGGTAAAAGTGATAGCAAGTTAATAAAAGTTTTAGAAACATTTAAAAACAACAAATTTAAATTTATTAAAATTATTTTTTTCTGATGGACTAAATAGGATACAATTTTATTTTTCTGACGATTAAATCAAAAAACCTAGAGTTGAGCATCTTCGAAAGATGTCAGGGGCAGGGGGAAGAAGAGTTTTCGGCTGTGATCGAAGTTTTTTTTTACTTAAATGATGCATTCTAAGAGTTGATACACAAATTCTGCGGTCAGAAAAAGATTAAAACTTATATTGTTCTCAGACACAGCTGCAATTAGAGAACGTAAGCAATTCGGAAGGTAATCGAACATTTGGAGTATCGAAAAATTATGTTTGGGAAAGAAAAAAATCTTCCTGTACCTATAACGATACCATTGAAATCTTCATTGTCACCATTCATAGTGCTACAAAAAGAGATTTGAGTGCACTGGCAAGTTGTCAAAATTTACCTTCTACAGGTACTGTATTAAATATAAAAGAAATATTTTAAATAAATTTGGCAATTTCATTGCGAAATTAGCTTTTTTCCTTAAAAAAAACAATATTTTAATTGGCAGTTTCATCTGCAAGAGTAATTCACGTTAATTTCAGAATTGGTTATTTTAAATAGGAATTTTTAAATTAATATAAGCCCTAGATGGTTTAATACAAAACCCTAAAACCGGCCATCTCCTTAGATGGCGTATTCGAGTGTTGCGATAACGAATTATGAGAAAACAAAAATTGATATAAATATAAGCTCAGATTCAGAAATATATCACAATTTACTTATTTTATCAGTAATTTAAAAGAATTTTGTACTCGTAATGCAATTAATTTATACCTACTTTTTAGACTTACGAAATGCACAGTTTAGATACTACAGAAAAAATTAGTTTCTTCCAAAATTCACAAACAGTTTACTCATTATCTTAGAATTTGAAAATCATGTATTTTAAATTTACTAGCAACAAAACTATATGGGAAAAATTTCTTTACTAGAATGAGTGGTAATTGCGAGAACACAAAATGTCCCCATTCGACTCAAATTGTATTTCCCCCTCCTTTGCGCGTTTTTTATTTAAGAGTTGAAAAAATTAAAATGAAAGTTTCGAACGATTTCACAATGCTAGTAAATTCAATGTGTTAATCCATTTTATGTCTGAAAAATGCTACTATAAAGGATAGAAATGTGGCTGGGTGGCGTAGCTGGTTTGTCGTCGGCCTTCTGAGCCCAAGTCTGCGGGTTCGATCCCCGGCCCAGACAACGGATTTTCGGGATGCAGAAAATCCTCAGCGGCCATGTCGTATGATTATGCGGCATGTAAAAGATCCCTGAAGTGCCTTATTGGCTCTTGGCATTTTCGGCAAAATTAAATTCCTTGTGCAGTTTAGCATCCAAATAAGAGTCTCGGAGCTGCCATTTAGTGTGGCAGAAACTAGACGTCCAAATTAATATGGCCAACGGTATCTCACCCATTGTGGTGGTCCTGAAAGAGTGGATACCACTTCTTGAGAACGCACTAGGTCTGCTTATGTGTGCGCACTTGTGCAGCTCATTAGAAATAGTAAATAAATAAATAAAAAAAAAAGGATCGAAATTTGTTAGTTAACAAACCAGAACAGTGTCACGCACTAGGCATAAGAAAAAGAGGGTGGATTGCCGATGAAGATCGATAAAAATATAACTTTTATTGTTCGATGAGTATTGTTTTTGACAAATTTTTGATGCCAAAGTACGGCATTTTTGAAAAAGATGGGATATAAAAGTCTTTTCTTATTAGAGTGAGAAAAATCGCAAAGTTTTTCGGTTATTAGTGCTTTGGTTTTGTTTTAGCCTTTTAAAATTTATTTCTGTAAAGTAACGAAAACCGTTATAAATAATGATGATTGATGAAAAATTAGTCTAATTATATCAAAACGCTGATTTTTTTTCACTCAAAAATCTGTAAGTAAGCAAACGTATAACCAAAAATAATTCGAGTATAGCTTAATTTTCCAGTCAGCAGCGCGATCTTCTGACAAAATTAGTTACTTAATTTAAAACTTAGCTATAGTGACACGTAGTTTCCAAAAACAGAACGCAGCAAACTACCTTCCATTTAGCTTTAATTCATTTTGGAGCAACCATCATTCGACCGATTGCGCTGAAGGTTAAAAAGATTAAAATAACATAATAGTAGATGGAACACTGAATGTTTTTTTTTTTTTTAATGGCGGGCACTTGGAGCTATTGTCCATTGGCCACAGAAAGTGCCAGAACTGCTAATTCTCTTTTCGTTACCCAGTGGGCACCTGTGGCGAAGCCACGGCGGTGGAACAGCGTCGCCCACGTCACACTACCACAACCCGTTTATAGGGCGGGTCACATTCACACACAAAGGAGAAAGGACATAGAACACAGATAGAGGGAAAGAAATATCCATGCCTTGCTCGGGATTCGAACCCAGAACCTTTCTGATGCAAGCAAAGTTCCCTGCCCCCTACACAGACTGGTCGGCGGAACACTGAATGTAAATGATAGGAAATCAAATAAAATAAATTAAAAATTAGCATTGCAATTCCTCGGCAGTGTATTCTAGTCCGACAGATGAAAATTTGAAATTTTCGAAAACATTTTAATTTGAGTAAATTTTTACTTATTTGTGTTATGTCTGCCACTTTTTATATGATTTTATAGATTTTGAGTTTCAGCGCTCAACGGTCCGCTGACTATAAAAGCAATCGTTTTATTTAAGCCAACAGATTATACATAGAAAAAAAATATTACGAATGACTGACATTTTTTTTTCTTTTTTTGACACTGTCTCTTAGAACATTAATCTGCAACCGATAAGCTGATTGATAAAGACAATACCAGACAATGATACAAAACGTATTAAAGAGAGATAAGATTTTTCATGGAGTGGTTTGATTGCCCGGGGAACGTGCCATTGTTGGAAATGTGATTCCCGTTTTTAATATGTTTATTCTGTCTATTTACAGCACTTAAAAAAAAAAAAAGATGACTTATTTGGAACCTGATCAGCCTGGAAAAGTTTATTGTAAGTTTCATAACTTTTTATTTTGGGTCGCACCATTTTTGAATATACATAACTATAATTTTTAAAAAAACATAACAGAGGAAATCAGGCCTTCATCGTTTGTGTTCATTAGTTGTTATTTGCGTAGAATTGAGTGGCATAATCAGGACTACAGATTCATTTTTTAGTCCTTCAATCATTTAAATTAAATTAACAACACAAATTGAAACAAATATTATCTGCGATCCATCGTCAAACACTGTATTTTAAAATGAGCTCAAAGACAGTTCTTTCTACTGATGGTCACTGTTGGGTCATTTCAAGCCGTTGGCAATTTAATATTTATAATGACTACACTATTTCTCGCCACAATGTGAAAAATTATCTCGAACTACAGATTTTATGGGGCAACAACCTATAATGACATCAGTTCTAATATTTACTGTAATGTGTTAAAAATTTATTTATCTTTTCAGATTTTGGTCTGTCAAATGTAAGAATTTCTTTTTCTTTCATTCAAATTAAATTAAATTCATGTAATTAAATAGAATAATTAAATAAGAAAGTTAAATTTTATAAATGTATTATTTCTGAATTCCCATGTAATATAAATACAGTGAAACCTACACACAGAAGCCGTAATTCAAGAAAAGCTGTTACATGAAATGGCTCATAAGTACTAATCATTCATGTTTTTTAGTCAGTAAAAGTAGGAAAAATAATCTAAAATTAACTTAATATTCTAATTCCAAACCAAGTGGTTAGAAATTTTTCGCTCTTGGAATGTGACTTTTTGTTATAAACTTTAGAAATGATTGTACTTTTATGATTGTTATTGATTTCTCTCGAAAGAACTTGAAAGCATCATTATTCTATGTTGAGTCTGTAAATAATTAGTATAATTCAGTCATTTAAAGCCTTTATGCGAAACTGAATATTTTCTATAATTTTACAACTTTATTGTGATTCATAAAAAGGAGAGTTCCTCCTTGTCCCCCCCCCCCTCTTTCATACTAAAGAATGGTCTCGGATTCGGAATCAGGGATTGCAAAAAATAACTGCCCTAAATTGTCCCTTTTGATTTTTTTTGATTAAACTGTAAAAAAAAACCAGAAGGTTAAGTAATTTTTGAGAATTTTTAAATTAACAAAAGAAATAACATGATTTTTTTGTTTGTTTTTTTTTGTATTTTCATAAGTAAATACAACCCATTTCTACTTTTTCTTAGAATTTCTAATGTTTCTATGTTCACTACTAATACAACATTTAATATTCATAAAACATTTTAAAGCAACATTTTCAGAAATAGTAGCGTTGGGAATTAAATATATGAGTTCAATGTCGCGTCGGTCACTGGTAAGATTTAATGACAAGTTTAATATGTGGGGTTATGTGCTATTACAAAATATATTTCGTTATTATTTGAGTATTTTTCTGAAAGAAACGTAAGCCTTGTTTAATATTTTGTTCTTTCGAAGATTAATCTAAATTTGACATCGCTCCAAAAAAGATTTCAGATGACACCACAGTAAAGATTAGTTCAATCGATTTTTTTTTCATCCTCTTATTTCTCAACACTTATAAAAAGTGTTAAAAGAACTCAGTCTCATACGAGAACACTTAAAATCATTGGAATATAAAGATATATTTCATAATATATTAATTACATGAGAATTATTACATATTATATAAGAATCTAATAATCATATAAAATATTCCAATAAATATTATAATTTATTAAAATAATGATTTTCTCTAAAAGTAATCCGAAAGAATGCAGATTTTATTTAGTTATTTATTTTTCGTTTCTCTCCATAATAATAATATTAAATTTTGAATAGCATACGTATGGTAGTTACATATCCACTTTAAATGCACTGAATAACAATACAAATATAACTTTTAATAAATATAACTTTTTTGCAGTAATGCATATGATGAGACACATTCAATTTTCGGCACTTAGACGCAGCCATTTTGAATATTAAAATTTTAACATTCGATTCTTAATCAGTGACTTCGAAAACCCATCTATTCATATTTTTTTTTTAGAAAATATAATTGAAGTATATGTTTTGGGTTCTGTACTGGTAAAGAATATGGGAAAATCTTTGCTGTGTTATTACTATTCTTTCGGTGTAAAATGCTTCTCAGTGGTTAACCTATAAAGCTGGTCAACTTATAAAGAAAGAATGAGTAACAGTTTGCTGTTGTTATTATTTTTTTAATTATTTATTATAACAGTCAAAATGTAGTTATTTTCTTAACGTAAGAAATTTTTAAGAATTTATAACCAGAATGAATTATAATGTGTTACACAACTTAATAATGCTAAATTGATTTAAAAATAACAAACAAAAGTATGTAATTATTTATTACAAATAATTTTCCAATATCAAGAACCAATGCAATTAGGAAACATAACATGACATTACCTTAACTAAAGGGTGGGAAACATCTCATTAAATTCTCTTTCCAAGTTAATTTCAAAGCACTTATAAATTTTTGTAATGTGTTGCATTGTTAAAAAAGAAAGAAAAATAAATAAGGAAATTTTAAAAAATGTATATATCACGCATTTATTTTACAAATTATTATTTGGATATCATTGTATTTATGAAGGACAGTCATAAATCAAAAACAATAAAAATCTGAACAATAGAAAAGTGATAGCCAGTTTAGGAGAATTTGGCCACTTTAAAAATTCATAACAAGGGAATGTTAAACCACAGTTACATACTTTAGCTCTACCATTTTATGGAGCTTTTTGTCCATCAGAAATTAGTGACATATAAAAAAATGTTGCCACCACTTTTTAATTTTTTCTTGTTGCATGAAAGAAACAAAAAAAAAAACAAAAAAACAAACACTCGTGCCGTTTGCACTCACGGAAATGCTCATCGGCACCGCATGGCGCGGTCGAGAATAAGCGCTCTGAAAACAGCAAAATTGAGAATATGGTAACCCGACAGATCTATGCGTCACATCTTGCTACAGCGTGCAGCCCTATTTCGTTGAATCGTTCGGAAAATGATTGTTCTATTCTATTTATAAATTTCTTTCTAGTTCACTTCTATCTTCACACCGTTCTTATATTTTTTATAAGCAGTTTTTGTTTTGAATGAAAAATTCATACTTAATTTAATGTTTATGTCTCAGAATTTTATTTAAAAATAGATTCTTGCAAAAATTTTATTTTTCAACTTCTTTTTTTTTATTATTGTTCTTGAAAGTGTAAAACCTATTATGTTTTTTTTAAAATCTATTTGCTAAGACCATTACCATTCTTTACTATGTTATATATATAAAGGCTTTTGTGCTGATTATATACTAAAGCATATTGCATTCAGTTTGCCATTCAAATGTAAGGCTAATAATGAACTATAATAGATTTGAGGAATGAGTTAAGGAAGTACTTTATACATTTAAAAAAAAATTGCTTCACTTGTTTGCTTTTTCAGATATAGGAGATTTTATTAAATCGTTTTTCATCAAATTAAACATTTAATCAGAAAAAAGTGATAATTTTCAATGTGGAAATATATATAAGAAATTATTCACAAAGGAATCAATACTTTTACGCAAATAATAAATTAAGATAGATCTGAAAAAAAAAAAAAACCTGAGAAAGCAATTAATACATTTAAAATGTTTTATTTTAATCTTATCATTTTTTTCATTTGTTAGCAGTTTCAAAAGTTGTAAAAGTCTTAAAAAAATATTTATATATATTTCATTATCATATGCAGCACTTTACTTTAACCTTTCTATTTTATTCATTTTCATTAAGATGAATATTTTAATGAAACTACTTCAATATTTTGCAGTTTCAAAAGTTATAAAAATTCAGAAAAAAAAGTTTTATTTAATTTTAATCCGATCAAATTTACTTTAACATTATTTTATTCAAATGCAATTTCAAAAGTGATGAAGTACAAGAACCAAGTTTTATTTTATAATTATACGACTAAAAATTTTGCCATTTCTTATACCATTACTAGTGCCATTTCTTATAACATTACTAAATAAGATATTATATAATAGTATAAGAAAAAAAATGAATGGTAGATTCAAAATAAATAATAAGAAATACTTCACAGAAAAATCGATATTTTTACACAAATAATAATTAATTGGGGAATATTTTAGGAAATGGATCTACAAAAGCAAATTATACATTTAAAATAATTTATCCTTAGAAGGCAACAGTGAACTATTTTGTTAATATGAAATATATTTCAGATGTTTTTGTATACAGTTTTAAAAATTTAAATAAACATGTATTATAAAATTAGTTACAGTGCCTTGAGATTAGTTACAGTGCCTGATAAGAGCTTCTCTATTTTTTCAGTTTGATTATATCAACTGCACTTTAGTATAGATAAAAGTTTTGCTTTTATTTGTTCTTTAGCATTTATGCTATTTTTAACCTAATTGATTTGTTTTATCCACCGTGATTGCTTGCATCTTAAAAAATATCTATAGTTGATTTATCGAGAAAATTACATTGTCAACAATGCAAACTTTCATCATAATTAACAACACTTAAACTCGAAAAAAAGTTGTTCGCAAGTATAACACTAGTTTCCATTGCACGTATTTCAATTATAAATTTGGAGTTTAATTAATAAGAAACTGTACCTTTCAACGTGATAAAAAGATTTTGTTAAAATTTAAATCAAATCAGTAAAAAAAATTTCATTTATCTATTTAATTATTTATTTTATTTTATTTTTTATTTTTTTACTCAGAAATTGAAAATAAAAAACACTTCTGAGAAAACTCCAAACAAGTCAATACAATCAATGCACCAGAATACGACATCAGGTCAATGCTCTTCACAGTCATAAAATTTTAAAATTAAATTCCAGCTTAGAAGTTCAGATTAAAACTAAATTTGAAAGATTTAATTAAAATTATTACTAAATATTGCAAAGAGAATTTTGTGTTTTAATATTTGTGTTACATGATCTTATGAAAACACAAAACAATGAAAACAATTCTATCTATCCCTTGTTTACAAACGCTACGCAAAAGCAATTTGGCGACAGAGCAGGCTTGACTTAAAAGTTTTCGCCAAGAATGCCAAGCGGTGCCGAAATCGTGAGCATTTCCGCCAGTGCATCCCGCACACGATATAATCCTTCAAACATACAGGTAATTCAAGTCATTCTACTTTGTTTTCAGTTTAAGAAAAAAAAAAGGGTTGTAAAAATGGCATGTTGTATGACAACTGATCCGTATCGTCGTCACAGTAGGACTTTAGACAAAGAGATAGAACAATGGATGCAGGCCTACAAAAAAACTATAAAATTTCTTCTGCTTGGTAATTATCTTTTATTTTTATTTATTTTTGGCTGATCTGATTTTAATTCATAGTCATTTCGGCACTCCTACGAAGAATTGTAATAAGAATAATTAACTCGGCTGAATTCTTTTATCTTCTTTCCGATTCATTCATAAGATCAACATTGCAGTCCAGCATTATGAAAACCAGCTTCATGATATTATGGTACTTTATTTAAATTATGATATTATGGTACTTTATTAAATACATTGCAAAAAAAGGGTTTCTCAAAATTGAGCAAAATGTGTGACTCCGAAACAAGGGCGCCGGCAGCGGGGTGCACTTTCACCCCCCCCCTCGGCTTTTTATTTAATCAATTAAAGAGTATAATTTTTTTTATTAAAAATTTGATTCAAAAACAAATAGTTAAGAAATTATTGATACATAACAATTTAAAAATTGTTTAATCAAACAAGAATTGTAATCGTCTTGTTAGCTGTCCAAATCTGTTTATAACGTTTTCAATGAATTCTGAGTCACCTGTGATTCTTTTCTTATGCACACTGAGCATGCACAAACTACTTAATCTCTCGTTAGACGTTGTCATGCGTTGCATTGTACTAAAAGTGCGTTCAATAGTGCACGTAGTAGCTGGAAGAGTTAGGCCAATTTTGACTGCCTCCGCTACAGCTGGATTAAAACGGTGTGGCCTCAATAACTAAATCGATGTATTCGAGGAATTCATATGAATTTTCTCTATTCCTCCACATTTCATACCACGTAAATTCGTAATTTTTTTAAAATATCCTGTTAACAATGAAGAAATGCATCATGAAAAAAATTAACTGATGAAAGTATATGTAATAACTAGAGCTCGGAAGTTCAGGCGAAATGCCATAAATGCCCTTTTCTGCCTTTCTTAAACGTTTTCTTTTGAAAATGCCTTTGTCTTTCATTTTGTTCATAAATGCCTATTTCTGTCGAATTTAAAATTTTTCTGCAAAGCTTTTCGTGCTTTTGACCGAGCATAAACGCAAAATGAAGAAATTTTGAAGTACAGAAATGGTTGACTGTCATCCGACGTATTGTAATGCATTTATAGAGAATAGGACTTTATTCCTTTTGTCTTATTAATATTTTCTCTCCGTCTCTTCGTGGCGTCACCTTCGTCGTGGCGTCAGAAAACGTGGCGTCACCTTCGCCCGATGCGCTTTGCAAGGAGAGAGAGAAAGGGAGTGAAAAGATTGGAGTTATTTTTACTTACAGCCAATAGAATTTATTCTTACTTACGGCCCATATAGCCTACACCATCGAATAACTCGCATGCTCTCTTATCTGCAAAACGAATTCACCAAGCTGGTTGAGCACATTGTAGCAGGAGCACGAAATAGTTTTCTAGTACTAGTTATTTCAAAAATGCCTAAAGTAAAAGCTTGCACAAGCAAAAAAGTGGACAGTTTTGTGAAAGAGTTTGGGTCGGATGTGTTTTCTACTGATGGTAGCATTCTGTTTTGTAAGGCATGCGAGAAGTCAGTAAATTTTGAGAAGAAGTATTTTATATCTGAGCACTTGGAGACATCTAAGCATAAAACAGCAAAAGATAAAAAAGATGGGAAAACACCGACTCTGATTCCCACCTGCTTTCAATCATCTTCTCGTAAATCGAATTTGCAATGAATTTATGCAGATGCCGGCATTTCGCTGTGGAAACTTAAAAATAAAAGCATACGAGCTTCTTTGCAAAAATATACGAATCAAAGTGTGCCCTGTGAATCGACTTTAAGGAAAACTTATTTAGATGACTGTTACACCGAAGTTCTTAAAACTATTCTAAATAAAATTGGAACGAAAAACATATGGCTATCTATAGATGAAACGACAGATGTAACTGGACGATATGTTGCGAATGTTATTGTTGGTGTTATGGACCCATTTGAAAAACATAAAATCTTTTTGTTGACATCTGAACAGTTGCAAAAGACTAACAGTACTACAATTGCACAGTTGTTCACTAATGCACTGGCTTTACTTTGGCCAAATGGTACTGAGCATGAAAGAGTGCTATTATTTCTTACAGATGCAGCCTCCTACATGAAAAAAGCTGGAAATGCCTTAAAAGTTTTATTTCCTAATATGATCCATCTAACGTGCCTTGCTCATGCATTGCACAGGATAGCAGAGGAAGTAAGAGGTCTCTATCCTGAGGTAGACTCGCTTGTTTCTAGTGTGAAAAAAGTATTTGTGAAAGCCCCTTCAAGAGTTCAAGTGTTCAAAGAAATTGCACCAGACATTCAATTACCTCCTAAACCGATCCTTACGAGATGGGGAACATGGATTTCAGCAGTCTCATACTACTGCACAAATTTTGAGGAAGTTACTCGAGTCCTTACCAGCTTTTCGGATGAAGAGGCAATATCCATAAGAAAAAGTAAAAATCTGCTTAGCAGTTCTAAAATAAAAAATGAACTGACTTTTATTTCAACTTATTTTGGGAAGCTCCCTGGAGCTATTGAACACATGGAAAAAAGAAATATGTCCTTGTCCGAGTCACTAAAGATTTTCGACAATACTATTGAAGAACTAATGTCTGCGCCTTGACCAGCTGGTGACAGAATAAGGAAGACATGTGAAAACGTCATCTCTGCAAATACAGACTTTGAATGCATGAAGGACATTGCGAAAGTACTTTCTGGTGATACTGCAGTTGAACTTATCATATCTCCAACCATGGCAAGTTGTTTTAGGTACGCGCCCATAACCTCTATCGAAGTAGAAAGATCCTTCTCTTTGTTTAAAACTATATTGACTGACAGGAGACAAAATTTCTCTTTTGAAAAAGCATCTAGTTGTGATGTGCAACAACAACCAATCATCAGAATAAATCCGCATACAATATTATTGTAAGTATGAGTTTTCAATTTTTATTTCACACTTACGCAGTTGAGGGTTTTTTTGTGCAATTATGTCCACTTCTTTTGTACTATTGCTACGACAGTCGAGTAAAATGAATATGTAGGTATACCGGATACTTCTAGCAACTTTTTTTATTCCTTGGATACCTGTATAGGCTTTTAGACATTACCAACTATCATTTTGCTCCAATTTTAAGTGCCTTTTTTAAGTGCCTATTTCAAGCTTTTTAAATGCCTTTTTGCCTGCCTATTTTGCATTTTTTATTGTCTGAAATTCCGGGCTTTAGTAATAACAAAACAAAATGTAATAACAGAATATTTGATTTTTTGGGGGGGAGGGAAGGGGTTAGTTTATTAGAAGGTTGCACCCCCCTTATATATTATTCTGCCGGCGCCCTTGCCCCGAAACAAATAATAGTCTAATTAAAAATGCATTAAAAAATTGAAACAGCATATACTCATTTTTGAGCCAAAACTGACGTGGAAGGAGAAATGTATGAGAAAGATGGACCTCCTGAAGGATGCTCTAACCACCGCAGGTATAATTTTTCAGATAGAGAGAAATAAGAAAATAAAATAACCGATCCCCTGGTTGATTGTGTAAAGCTACGCACAGATGGCGCTGGGGTTAAAATTCGTCGTAAAACTTTCGGCTTACTATTTCCGACTGATTTTTAAGCCTAAGCTTGAAAAAACGCACCATCCAATATTATTAAACTTGTAGTGTTTGAATTCGGAGGACTCCCGAAGCTTGCTATGATACCCGAAAAATAACAAACTGCGCTATTTATATAGCCCAATAAAGGATAACATGGCCTACCGAATACTTTTCTTTATGCTGTGATATTAATTTTGTTAAATTTGTTTTGGGCTCACCACCTGTTAGAATTTAGAAGTGACTGAAAACTTTTATGAATGGTAAAATTACGCGTAAATTTAAACACACATCACAATGATATTAAGCCTGTTCACACATCACCTCGTAAGTGGAGAGATACAAAACATTTCTTTAAAAAGTTAAGTAAGGTTATTTAAAAAAAAATATGTATATATACCATAATTTTACTTTCTGTACCTTTAAAATAGGGAGAAAAAAAAATGTTTTTTTTTTTGAATAATAGCTATGGTAAACACAATGATTAGTAAGATTTTTTTTCGAAAAATTTATAAAAATTGACCACACTATCTCTCTTCTTAATCAAGATGACAGGCATTTGCTTGAAAGTTCAAATANATATGTTTGACATAATTAATAAAAATTGCGATTTTTACTCCCTGGAGCAAATTTCAAAAAAGAACCTATTTACAAAAAACAGTATAACATGGTTAGTATGATGGTTAATACGGAGTATGTCTTCCGGACGATGCAATACAGGCCGTACAACGCCTAGGCATGTTGAGTATCAAATTATCAATCTGATCTTGGGGAATATTACACCACTCATCAAGCAATGCCCTCAGAAAGTCCGGTAGACAGGTGGGAGGGGGTTGACGGGCTCCAATTCGTCGGCCAAGCGTATCCAACACATGCTCTATTGGATTCAAGTCCGGTGAGTATGCTGGCCAATCCATACGAGTGATATCCTCAGATTGAAGGCATTCGTCTACAATGTTTGCATTGTGAGGACACGCGTTGTCGTCCATAAACAGAAATTCAGCACCCGTGGCGCCCCGAAACAAACGTACATGTTGTTCCAGAATGACATCCCTATAGATGTGGCCTGTCATCGTTACACTCTGAACATGCAGGTCAATTCTGGAACCAAGAATATTTCCTCCCCAAACGAGCCATCCTGCACCACCGTAACGGTGTCGTTCAATGGTGTTGTCTTGGTGGTAACGGGTACCTGGCACTCTCCATATGAAAGTCCGGTGAGAATCAGACTGCAAACTAAACCTGGACTCATCGGAAAACATCACACAAAACCACTGTTGCGGTGTCCACAATGCATGCTCTCTACTCCAGGCTAATCGCAGGCGACAGTGGGTTGCGGTAAGTGGAACACATCTGACAGGCCTACGAGCATATAGACCAATGTGCCCTTCGCGTCTGCACACGGTCTGCCTTGAAACTGTCGTACTGGTAGCTGAAGAGAGCTGACGAGACAGGTCTGATGCTGTGCTCCGTCTGTTTCTTCTGGCAGTAACTGCCAAATACCGGTCTTCATTCGGCGTTGTAACTCGGGGGCGACCTGTGCTGTAACGTCTACTCACATTACCATCATCTTGGAATCGTTGCCAAAGCCTGAAGATGACACTCTGGGTGATTCCAAGTTCCTCGGATACTTCCAGCTGGGTACGTCCACATTCCAGTCGTCCGATGATTCTGCCACCTAAAAAATTATCCAAATGCTTCCTTTGTGCCATAACTATGCGGTTATTACACTGAAAGGCTTTTAAACAGCTTGTGAACAATTTTACTTCTTTGCCAACATTCCTTATATACCCCTCTCTTACACTCTCGTCATTGTGACGTACTACCAGCGTCATCTAGTGGTTTCCTGTAATTTGCATATTCTTCTTCAGGATGTGTGTGATAATTCTACAGGTGAAATTTTAATTTTGGAGTTTCATTTCCGTGTGATTCTGAATTATCCTTAATTTATGGACATGAGTGTATATAGCCCAATAAGGGATAACATGGCCTACCGAATACTTTTCTTTCTGCTGTGATATTAATTTTGTTAAATTTGTTTTGGGCTCACCACCTGTTAGAATTTAGAAGTGACTGAAAACTTTTATGAATGGTAAAATTACGCGTAAATTTAAACACACATCACAATGATAAAATATTAAGACTGTTCACACATCGCCCTCGTAAGTGGAGAGATACAAACATTTCTTTAAAAAGTTAAGTAAGGTTATTTAAAAAAAATATGTATATATACCATAATTTTACTTTCTGTTCCTTTAAAATAGAGAGAAAATTTTTTTTTTTCTTTGAATAATAGATATGGTAAACACAATGATTAGTAAGATTTTTTTTCGGAAAATTTATAAAAATTGACCACACTATCTCTCTTCTTAATCAAGATGACAGGCATTTGCTTGAAAGTTCAAATATTTTTTATTAGACACTGAATATTTATTTAGAATTTTTATTAAAAATATGGAGTCAAAAAAGGCTTATACATTAGAGTTAGTTCATTAATATTTATGTGAGGAAAAAAGATAAAAACGCTATTTAAATCTTAGGAATTACTGCAGAGGAAAGTGGAGTGATACATAAGATTTAAACCATTTTTCCTTCGTAGTGATTCACAAGATCTAGCTTAAATATCAATTTGCAATCCTTTTGACTTAATTGTGATCACTGCGGAACACCCTGATGAAACTGCATAAATAATTATTTATTTTCAAAATTTTTTTTTACTTATTTTACTTTATTTATCTTAGAAATATATCAAATGTTTCTGATCTTCCCTAGAATTCTCGTCTTTTTCGGGTGAAAGAACAAAATTGTTATCAGTAGAATAATAAATTACACTTTTGCACTATTGTTTAGAAAGAAAAAAAATTAGAAAATGTGCGTATTTTAAACCTTATAAAAGCCAATATAAACGAAGAAACTTTTTTCGGATTAATAAAAACGAAAATATTTAAATGGTGAATATATATTTTTTATTCTTAGGTGCTGGTGAATCAGGAAAGAGTACGATAGTGAAGCAAATGAAAATCCTGCATATACAAGGATTTTCTGATCTGTAATTTGTTTCTTATAACTTCACATTATTAAATTAATAATAATGGCTCGACATTTATTAAAATGAATCTTGGATTTCAGGGAAAGGCAAGAGAAGGCTGCTCACATTAGAACAAACATTTTAGAAGCTATTAAGGTTGGTAAATAACGCAATTATTAAAAAAGAAAAAATTACTTTATTTCATAGAAAATTAAAGGAAGTTTATATAAGTAACTCTCGGGAAAAAAAAAGGTTGAATTGAAACTAAATTTTACTTTTTTTTATAAAGAAAATGAAAAAATCAATATTTAATAAATAAAATAAAATCCAAGTTTTCAATTTTTGACCGTGGTACCCATTCTGAAGGTAATCGAGGAAGAGATACAAAAGTTTTTTTTATGTTTTGAGAACAAATAGATGAGGTTTTAAAGAGAAAGCCATTTTTAAACTGATGGCTTTTTTTTTAAAGTTCTTTTGTGGATTGTTAAAAATTGTTTTAATTTTAAACATAAGTTAATACTGTATAACTACGAAAGTTCATGTTGAAAGAGATGCATGAGTGCGATGAATTCGAAAGGGAGAATCCAAACAAAGCTTTAAATATGTTCTGTTTGAGTCCTCAAAAACTTGTAAGCCGGCGTTTTCATTCATAAATTCAAAATAGTCCATTGTAATATACTTTTAATGAATAATTTAATATTACATGTTATTAAAAAACAACGGGGGTTGTGTACAGTGCGCCAAAAAGAAAAAAAAAAATGGACCACCCAGAATAACTTTTGATCCTCATATTTGGATTTTCACTGTCTCAATCTTAATGGCTCGAGGGAGTGACTTCAAATACGCAAATTCATAAGTGCAGACGATATTTTAAGTTACGAAATCAGACCCAAAAACGTACTTTCTCTGACGAATAAACATACTTTTTTTTTTCGATGGATTCAGATTTTTGAAAAATATAGGGTGTAGTCGTAATGTTGGAAATAGGGTTCCAATAGTTTGGTTAGGAGGAGCTATATCCAAAGTTTGGACCCCTTGATGTTCATTTTACTTTTTTGGTTGATGTTCATTTTACTTTTTTTATTTTGCTATATCTCGAGAATTTTTTAAGCGAATAGAAAAAATTTTGCACACAATTATAAATTTCGTTCATCCGAAGATAATTCCACGCAAAAAATAACTTTTAATAATTATTTATTGTTCTTTATTATTTTATTTAAGAATAGGAGAAAAAATTTTGAGTTGTCATGCATAAAATGTTTGGCACCATTTTAAAGTGTGTAATTTTAAATGGCAAAATACAAAATGGGTGCCAAATCGGTCGAATAATTCCTGAAAAATCGAATTTTAAGTGTCTGACTTTTTTGAAATTTAATTTCTCTGGAACTATTCGACCGATTTTGTTCGAATTTTGTATTTCGTCTTATAAAATTACATTCTTTAGGATGATGCGAAAAATTTTATACTTTGCAATTAAACTTTTTTTTTTGACCAGTCTTAAATAAAATAATAAAAAATTCTAAATATCTATGAAAAGTCATTTTTTGCATGGAATTATCTTTGGATAAACGAATTTTACAATTGCGCGCAAAATTTTTTCGATTCGCTGAAAAAGTTCTCGAGATATAGCGAAATACGCAAAAAGTAAAATTAACATTAAGGGGTCCAAACCTTGGATCTCCTGACCAAACTATTGGGACCCTATTTCCAAGATTGCGGCTACTCCTCCTAAGGGGTCAGAAATCTGAGTCCGTCGAAAAAAATGGTAAGTTCATCCAGAGATCTTTTGTGATTGATTTCGTAACTTAAAATATCGTCTGCAATAATTAATTAGCATAATTGAGGTCACCCCCTCGAGTTATTATGCTAGAGTTCTAGAACGTGAAGACCCGATCATTAGATCAAAAGTTATTCAAGGTGATCCGTTTTTTTCCTGCACACTGTGAGTAATTCTTACCATAAAAAAACCTAAAAATGAAGTTGGAACAGTATTTTTAAGACAAGAAATTGCGAGGCTCGGTGTTTGTTTAAAAAACTTATAAGAAACAATGCAATTGACATGTCGGAAATATGAGAAAGCAGACGTGTCGAAAATTTATTAAAAAATATATATTCTTTGTTATTTTTTTACTGTTTTTATCGCTTTCTTTTCGTTAGTGGTTAGGAAAAATGGAGATGCTTAGCAGAGGCTGATTTTTTGAGCAACAAATACCGTTCTAACTCCATTTTAGGTTTTTGACTGTAGAGATTATGTTTAGATCAAAAAAAAGTGTGTGTCGACATTAGAAAATTTCATAATTTTGTCACTGTAACTGTAATCGTACGAGCTACGCAATCGTTTTAAACATTCTTAATTCACAATAATTGTTGTACACTCAAACGGTATGCTCTGCAGAGGGTCGTCAAAGTTATTCTGTAATCGCCCTCTGCATAAATGACGCTGCTGAATAAGATAAGCTGTGTATGCAAGAAATAGTGTGATAAAATTTTTTTTAAAGCTCTTATAGTGAAGCATGTTAAAGAGGACACCATCGTTCTAAAACGAAAAATAAATGTAGTTAATAAAATATTTTGAATTGTATCGATACTTCTAATTTTTTGCACTACAAGTTATACATATATATATATA